GCAGGACACAATTCCAGCAGCAGGTGCCCACTGGCAGCTCATGTCCCACCTTATCACCCACCAATAACCCAAAGCACTTCTCTGCAAAGCTCTTCCCTGTCCCCCACTCTCTCTTTAAACTGGGGATTGCCCCACCCCAGCTGCACGACCTTGCACTTTCATCCATTCCATGATGCTTGCACGGGGCCACTTCTCCAGCCCATCCCTGGCTGCCACCTCTGCCCTCCCGTGAATCAACTCCAGGCGCAGTCAGCTGCAAACTGCCTGAAGGGGCACTCAGCCCCATGGGCCAGCAAGGTGCTGAGCAGAGCTGGGCCCAGTCAGGGCCCCTGAGGGACAGCACCACTCACTGCTTCCCACCTGCACGTGGAGCCACTGTCCAGAACTCTCTGGAGGTGACTCTCCAGCCTGTTCCTCAGCCATGGCACAGCCTCCAGCTCATTGCCCAGCATGTTCCCCTGGCTGATGGCCTGGGGGACACTGCACACCTTCTCCCACTGGCCCTGGGCTGGGCATGGCAACCTTGCCTGGGCTGGGTGCTCACTCTGCACTTTGACAGCTGCAGCACAGATGCTTCTGCATTAGCACAACACAGACAAAATGTTCTGGGTGAGCAGACGTGCTTATGAAACCCTTCCTCTGTACAGCTGTGAGCACCACAGGTGGGGGTGGGAACTGCACCTGCACTCGGGCAGCTGGGACAGAGGAGACCTTCCCCATGAGATCAGACACCCTGAGCCTGAGCTCATGACCACAAGCAATGCAAGAGTTAGAAACACAAGGAAATGGACAGATGCAATAACATTTTGTAGCTCTCCCTTGCCCTACAGAAGGAACTCAAATCACACTGGACTCCATCAGGCACAGCCTGGGGCTCTCTGTGACATGTGACAAGCAAGGCAATGACCGAGTTCTTCTCCAGCCTCACACACACAGCTCCCCTGTCTGCTTTTTCTTCCACGCCAGGCCACTCTGAGGTTTGGATTGTGGCCCTCTCCTCACTGCTCAAATCTACCATGAGATGATAATGCACTGCAGCCACAGCCAGAAGGGAGGTGCCATTGTCTGCTCACCTCCATTATGATAAGGAACTGAAGGATTCTAAAGCACACAAAAATGATAAACAACCCTATTGAACTTTCATCACAATAGAGAATGGTTCATCAAATCATTGCCCTCGAGGGAATCTTCTCTCCAGCTTTATCACATGCTCTTTTTTCCACAAAGATGCAACATCGACAAATATCATATTTACATCTATTTCTCCCAACAGGAACAGAACACAAAGTCACTCTCATATCTGCTGTCATCCACTCCCACTGCAGCAAGTGCTGGGGACATTAACACACCATACATTGCTCAAAAAAAGATGGGTTGTTGATATCCCACATACTGTGTAAATCATGGAAAAAGCAAAAAAGCTGCAGAAAACTCCAAAACATGAATCAGATAAGGCAAGGAAGCATTAGAAGACATCAAGGAGTCAGAGATGCTCACAGTGAAGACTGCTGGGCCTTGATTGCAGGCCTTAAAATCCATCCCTGAGAGCACCTGGAAGTCACTGAGGTTCCAAGGTGCAAGTGTGGCATGGAGGATTTACACAGCCCAGCAGGATAGGGGGGTTCATTTCAATAATTAGTCCTCACCACAGCAACTTTTTCTACTGCATGGCCTGCTCACCTTGCACAGTTATGAATCCATCATTTTAAAAAGCTTCTCATTGGCCTCCTTCTCAAGCTAAATCTTCTGACAAATTACAACAGATTCTCTTATTGCTGCTTCTTCCTATTCTTTGTATTCCCCACATACACAATTTTCTCCTAGGTGGCTGCAGTAAAGATGTGCTGAAAAACAACAGTCACTGTTTCAGATTTAAAAGTAGAGACCAGAATTGTGAAAATGAGCTGCAACCTCCCTGGAAAAAAAGGACTGAAAGAAAGTGGAATTACAACTCTGAAGAAACTCTATATCACAAGGCTGCATAAAGATACAGATGGATAATGGAGGTTGCACACAGGATTAATTGGCACTTTAGACAAGAATGAAGGTTCTACACAAACACTGTGGCAAATGTTACCACTGGAAGACTGTCACTGTATTTCATGTCAAAGAAACCAGGATCAGAACAGCAATGGCACTGCCTTTGGCACCAAGCATGAAATCAAACCATTCCTCTGCCAAACCCACACCGAGTAACCGATTTGCCTGGCACAGAACTGAGCTCTCACCCTCCTCACTCTGCATTCACAGCCTGCAGTTTCACCATCAACACCTATCAAAACATTAGTTCCATCATGGCCACAGATAAAACAACACCCTGGGGAAACATCTGTTCATGAAATTGTATTTCTTGAATGAAATATTAAAGATCAGGTTGGCTGCAGCTCTGAGGAACCTGCTCTGCTGGAAGATGTCCCTGCCCATGCCAGAGGAGCTGGAACAAGAGCATCTTTGAGGTCCTTTGCAACACAAACCATTCTATGACTGTGTTTCTAGGATAACATGATTACATGTACAGCTTCAAGGGTGGATGAGAGATACTCTCCCTCCTGGACAATTATATGTTTTGGAGTTTGCAGGATTGCCAGGCACAATGAGCATCAGCTTTACTCCTTGACAAAAATACAAGCAACCCAACAAACAACCCAACACAAACCAAATAAATTGTCCAAAGAAAACTTAAATCAACCTAGCCAGGAATGAAAAAACACCAGAAGAGATCAATCATGGCCTCACATTTCAGACTGGGTCAACTGCAGTATATACACAGCACAGGAAACTGGACTGTAACCCATACACAGGAGGCCTCACACAGGAGCTCACTGCACACACCCCACACTGCCATTTCCTTGCATACAAAGAGAAAGAAAAAGCTTGGAACCACAGCTGTGGGCCTCATCCAACTACTAGTACAATCAGAAGTGGACACAATTCATTCATGCATTTTGAACTGCATCACAGTGAACTCCAGCACCAGCCCTGTCTCTGGATACACAGACTTCTTCTCTCTGTCCAAACAAAACATGAAAGCAAATTTTGCATTCAGACATCATTAGAAGAAAACTCATGTGCACAGATTCCCAGAGCCCAAGCATCACAACTAAGATTATTCTGTTCCTCCCCATTATTTCAACA